AGGGCTGAGGCTGACGTGACAGATGCACGGGCAGAAGGCGGAGCCCAGAGACTTGGCACCCAGGTCCCCTGGCATCTAATTTGGGATTCCCACCAAATTAACATTTTCGTTCTCTGGCCAGCTAAACATGCAGAGAAATTTGGGGGTGGGGAGACAGGCAGCAAGCTGCTTTACTACTTTGCCCCGATTCTGACTCGCTCCCGCTTTTTCATTTTGCACCATTGAGCAAAGGACATAGCACATGGCCGATCCTGGGCTCATTTTGTGTGTGAAGCAAGATTGAGTTGCGTTGGGGGTCTCTCCTCTCCGAGGGCAGTGGGCGCAGCTTAGCCTCCGCACTTCTGAGCAAGGGACCCTGATTGAAAGATGCTCTCCGAAGCAGCACAGCATGTGTTCCTCTCTCCCGTCCCGTAGCTGCGGCTGTTTCCCAAGAGGAAGGCGGTGGCTCCAGTTAGAGACGAGCCTTGGGTTCCCCGAGGCCAGCCGGCTCGTGCGGGCCTGAGCGTCTGTACTTCGGGGTCTCAGCAAAGCCGCCGTCCTGTCCGGGGAACCTCCTGTCCCAGGCATCTCGGAGCGCAGCCCCCCTGGCCTTCCTTGCATCTCTCAGACACTGACTCCTGCCTCTGGTGGACCGGGAGCTGGGAGTTAGGTTAGGACTGTCTTTATTCGCCTGTCGCCGGGTCTCATTTCTGGCAGAGGCTGGAGAAACGGGCTCGTCCCTGCCCACCCCACCCTCCAGGCATGTGCCCGGTCAGCTCAGTCCCATGGGGGACACAGATGTGCAGGGAAACTCAGCCCACTCCAGTGAGGGGACTCAGGAGACAAGGGTGAAGGAGCAGACTTTTGAGCGGGACCCTGACCCGCAGAAATGGTGTGACGAGCTTGCCGAGCAAAGGCCCAGCAGCCGGAGGGGGCGGGCAAGTCAGGGACTCACGCCCGTAGGCTCTCGGGGTGGTGTCTCCAGAGACGAGGTTGAGAAAGGCAGCTGGCACCAGACCATGGGGCCACTGGACTTTGTCGTCTGAAGCGATGAGCCCTTCGCTCATCACGAGTGGAGTATGGTTGGGGCTGACAGTGGGGAGGCGGCCCTGGCACCAGCTGGCTCGGGCCCAGGAGGGAGAGGACAGGGACAAAGGGGCCCGACAGCTCCCCAGTCCTGAACTGCCCCCAGCCCTCTGCCCACCTGATTCCTCTTACTTTATGTATTGTTACCCCTGTGTCCCCCCGCTCCCCGGCCCCTCCCAGGCTGGGTTAGGAGCCCTTGCTCCATGTTCCCTGTGTCCCCTCCAGGACTACAAAAAACACGTTCCTGCGGTTTTAAGCCACCGAGTTACAGCAGTCATGGGACGTCAGCACAGAGAGTGGGGAAGGGGCCAGGGGTAGTTGGAAGTTTGGAGTGGGAGCAGGTGGACGCGGGTGGTGCCCTTAACCCGCCTGGGGATGTGGGCGGAGAGGTAGCATTGAGTTCTAGACTCCGTGTCAAGATCACGGTGCCACCGGGACACTGTAAGAGCCGTGGCCAAGCGTTGCCGGCCGTGCCTGAGGACGTGAGCTGCGTCCTGTCCGTCAGGACCGGCAGGGTTGCCACAGGGCACATCTAAACTCAGCAGCCAGAAGAGAGAGGCACGTGGGCGGCCCCGTTTGCCCCCTCCCAGGTCTGTCTCAGAGTTTGCTCCCAGTGACCAGTTTGAAGGTTTCATTAGAAACCAAAGAATTGTTCTTTTATTTATTTATTTTTTTTTTAAAGAAACACATTCGGGACTTCCCTGGTGGTGCAGTGGATAAGAATCCACCACCCACCAATGCAGGGGACACGGGTTTGAGCCCTGGTCCGGGAAGATCCCACATGCCGCAGAGCAACTAAGCCCGTGTGCCACAACTACTGAGCCTGCACTCTAGAGCCTGCGAGCCACAACTACTGAAGCCCACGCGCCTAGAGCCCGTGCTCCGCAACAAGAGAAGCCACTGCAGTGAGAAGCCCACACACCGCAATGAAGAGTAGCCCCCGCTCACCGCAACTAGAGAAAGCCCACGCGCAGCAATGAAGACCCAACACAGCCAAAAATGAATAAATAAAATAAAATAATTTATAGAAAAAAAAGAAGCACACTCGGCTACAGCAGTTGGTGTCCCTGCCTCCTGTCATGTGTCGGGCTCGCAGAGTCCTTGAACAGAGACCGAACTTGAACTAATCAATGGCATTTGGGAGTTGGGAAATTGCTCGGGAGCCAGGTGATTTATAATGTCATACAGGCTGGACAAGAAGACCCAGGAGGACAGGCTGTCTCTCGGCTTTTAATTTCTTCTTTTTGTAAAAGAAAAGGGAAAACAGAAGGTGCCAAGCTTGGCTGGTCAGCTGGACCATTGGGCCACCAGGGCCGTTTCGTCCCCCAGACCTCGCATCCACACCGCGGTGAGGCCAGACACGCCGCGGCCGAATCCTCTGTCCTTCGCCACCCCGGATGCTGAGTCTGGCAGGAGCTGATTTGCAGAGGACACCTGTTCCTTAACTAGCCCCAGCTTGAGCCGTGTCTCGGTCTGGGCTCCCTGCGCTGCATGAGCTCTGCCCCGCGCGAGGGCTGCCGTTTGGCTGTCGGCCCTGCGCCTTCCCGAGCCCTGTGTTCAGTCTGGGCTCCTGAGCGGAAAGAAAGAAAGCACTTCCCAGCCGCCGTCCAGCCACAGATATCACAGCCTGTTGTCCGAATCTTCCAAAAGAGTCCTTCACCGCCAGTCCCCACCCTGAGGACAGACCTGCTGTCCCGGAGCTGGATCTGAAAGAGGGCGGCGGACCCTCGTTCTCAGCCTGACTCACGCTCCCCGGCACTCGGTGGGCGCCTCGCGTACGCTTCCGACTCTACCCTGGGCGGTGTGTCTGTGTGCTCAGTCCCTTTAAGCAAGGGGTGCTCTCAGCGGGGTCCCATCCTACCGGGTCCTATAAAATGAACGTCTGCCGAGGAGGTGGAGGAAGATGGATTCCCTCTTGGCGAGGAGGCCCCATGCAGCCCGCAGCAGCAGAATTCCCCACCTGCCTCTGCGGCTGGTTCTGTGATCTCCCTGGTTTTAAGCAACGGAACCTTCGAAAACCCAGTCTTGAGGCTTCCAAAGTCAGATCTGACCTCCCGCATAAGCCACCCACCAAGAAAATGTCCAGCACCCACAGCTGGAGCACCGTGTTTTCAGCAGGGGGCGTCGCAGGTCAGAGGTGAAAGTCCCCAACCTCTGGCCCGGGTGCCCCAGAGTCCAGTTTCTAGCAGGCCAGGGCCGTTTGGGAATGTTTGTGACAAGCGGCTTTGTACGTGTTCTTCCACATGACGTGTCCCTCTCCCATCCTTCAAAAGAGAAATTCATCAGTGGAAAGTTTCCCTTAAGTGGTAATTTTCCTAAATGACTTGCTGATGGTGCTGTATACAGACTAGCTCGGCCAAGGGCTTCTGATCCAGTACCTCACTGTGTCCTCGGGCCAGAGGGGCACTGGCGAGGGCTGCCCGGAGAGCCCCTTGCCTCTGGCTCCCCCATCACCCCCGCCTGATGGAGACGCTGCTCCTTCCAGAGCAGAAGCAGGGCTGGTTGTCAGCCCCCAGGAGCAAGCTCCTTCCCGAAGTCTCCCAGCCCGGGCGCCTGCCAGGAGGCTTTGCCCACCCCAGCTAATTAGAACCTCTCCTTAAGCAGCGCTTTAGTCTCTCCTGTCATTCATTCTCACGGTGATAATGGACTTACTTAGATGAGAGGTCACAGCCTCTCCCACATCCTGCCTTCCTTGCAGGCAGGGAGGGGAGAGACGGGCTCAGCCCCCCTGCTCCTGGCCGAGCAGCCAGGAGGTATTCACTGCCCACTTTCGGGCCTCGCGCAGCCAGCCGCGTCTCTGGTGAATGTCATTAGCAGTAACGTGATAAAATGGTGCAGTGTAAATGTTAATAAGGTCTGACGCCTCCGCTGCTTCCGAGTGGCAGATCGGAAGTGGTACCATTATCGTAACTCCAACCAGCAGCTTCTAATTCCTCTGCTCTCTGAGCAGCCGATTGGTGTGGAGGTCGCCTTCCCTCGGCCCCAGCCCCAGTGTCTGCAGTGCCACATCTACCCCCGTTTTCCTTTGCAAAGCGGGTTCAGATTTCCCACAGACCAATTCTCTAAGGCAGGCTTTGGATTCTCTTTCTTCCTCCTAAGTAAACGCTCGCTTTCCCCTGTTCTCCAGAGAGGAAGAGTAGTGAGGGGCCCAGTGCCAGCAGCTCCCACTCCTCTGGCCGGGCTCCCACCCCTACCCCTGTCCACTCCCAGCTCCCTGGGGTAGCCCCTGCTTTTCCTGGTCCA